TGCCCTTGAATTGAGAAAGGAAATTCCTTTGGAAAGGCCTCATTCTCCATTGAGCCCATCTTGTAAGTCCTATAGTGGAGGACATTGATCCCAGGAGGCTCATGATTGTCTCTGCTGAGGAAACACTGGATGCTAACATGTCTTTGACCTTTTCCCGAATTTTCATACCCCTTTCTGGGGATAGTTGGACGGACCCTTCTGCAGTGTTGAATGCTGCTCCTAGATATATCATGTTCTGGGATGGTTTTAAGTTGCTTTTGGCGAAATTGATCTTCCATCCATGTTGTTGAAGATACTGTATACATATCAGGCCGTGATCTTCTAATATTTCTCTGTTTTCTGCCAGAATCAGGATGTCGTCGAGGTAATGATATACTGCAATGCCTTTCTTCCTGAGTTCTGCGATGAGAACCACCAGAACTTTTGAGAAAGTACATGGAGCAGTGCTTAGCCCAAAGGGGAGAGCACGGAACTGAAAATGCCCCTCTTCCACAGCGAATCTGAGGAATCTTTGATGCTGGGGTGCTATGGGAATATGGAAATACGCATCTGCCAGGTCTATTGACATGAGCCATTGATTTGGAAAAACTGCTTTTACGATGGATTGAAGAGACTCCATCTTGAATTTCCTTATGTTTAGGAACTTGTTTAGTCTGCTTAGGTCTAATATAGGTCTCCATCCCCCTGTGGATTTTCTGGTGAGAAAGATATGGGAGTAAAACCCGTATGTTTGCTGAGCTCTTGGAACTTGAACGATAACTCCATCGTCTTGAAGGGATGAGATAAACTTTTTTAGGGAATCTCTTTTTTTCTACATCTCTTGGCCAGATAGTCTTCTGGAAGGAGCGAGGTGGCGGCCTTGTGGAGAATTCTATAAGATATCCTCTTTGTATGATATCCAGCACCCATCTGTCTTGAGTTGAATTTTTCCACATATTCTGGAAAAGTAGTAGACGGGCACCTACTCCTCCAGAATGGTAAGTGGGATTGTCATAAAGGCTTCTTGTGAAATGAGGAACCTCTAGACTTTCCTCCTCTGTTGGATGAATGTCCACCTCTCCATGGAATAGATCTTCCATATTCTCTTCCCGGTTTATAAGATCTGGTATCGCGAAAAGAGGGGTACTCAGAGTATCTTCTGGCTCGAAAGGATCCACGGGTTTTCCGGTCTTGTGGAAGAAAGGCTTTTTTACCTTCTGCAGCTCTTTTGATGCACTCGTCTAGGTTTTTACCAAACAACATCTCACCATAAAAAGGAAGGGCGCATAGACTAGACTTTGATGATGAATCTGCGGACCAGGATCTCAACCATAAAGCTCTTCTAGCTGAAATTGAAAGAGCCATGTTCCTTGCTAAGGCTTTCACCATGTCTACCGAAGATTCTGACGTAAAGTCAACGGCCAGTTTAATATCATTTAATCTTTCCAGAAGAGAAGATCTGTTTCTCCCATCTCTGATATCCTCTTCCAAGTTTTCGATCCAGATTTTCAAGGCCCTGGATACTGAAGTAAGAGCTATAGCAGGGTGAAAACCAGTCCCTGCTGCAACATAAGCCTTTGAGAGATGCAGATCCATCTTCTTGTCCATTGGGTGTCTAAATGAGCCTGCATCATCTACTGGCAATGTGGTATGTTTTGCAAGTCGAACTACTGCTGCATCCACCTTAGGGGCATTATCCCAATGGTATGAATCAGACTTGTCAAAAGAATAGAGGCGAGAAATTCTGCCTTGTGCTGAAAGCTTATCTGTATTAGACCATTCGTCTTTAATTAATTCCTTAATAGTATCATGCACTGGAAAGGTTGCTCTTTTCTTTCTCAAGTCTGAGAAATAACGATAAGAGGTTGACTGTTCTGCAACTACCTCTCTTAAGCTCAAAGATTTACGGACTTTGTAAATGAGGTGGTCTATCTGAGCAGGTTCTAGAAAATCTGCAGGGGCCTGAGTTTCTTCTTCGTCTGAAGATAAGAAATTCCCCTGGTATGATTCCATATCCATGGATTCATCTGACGAATCATGATGTTGGTAATCCAAAGGTTCATGTAACCGGGGTCTTTTGTGACTTGCCCCTGCTTCTTTGATACCTTGAGCCACCGCTTGTTTTATGAATTGTACAAATTCCATTGAAGGATTAGATGTTCCAGCTGCTTCAGATAAACATTCTGCACATAACCGTTTGCCCTCCAGCGGTTTTTTATTACAGGCTTTGCATTGATTTTTCTTTGGAGATTTTCCTTTGGACGATCTCACTGTTTTCTTTCCCGTAGAACTATCATGATAGGGAAATATCTCATATTAGCACTCTTTTACTTTATGTATCCAGAAGAAAAATTAATATGATATGATATGGCTTACCTATAACTCCTAGAGTGTGACCTATTTTTATATCCAGAAGAGTCCGAACCAGAAGACATTGATCTCCTTTTGTCTTTCTCCATTGTGGAGATGATTACGAAATAGTCTAGAAAAGTAATTTAATTAGTATAGAAAGAAAAGAAAATGGGAATGGAAAAAAAAATAATTATGTGTATATACCTTTAAGAAGTAAAACTTACCTTCAAATATTTCTTGCAAAGGAAATGCTATTCAAAGTAGAAAATGTATGAAAACAGGACTTCTAGAGTCCTAATAAGAACCTCAGGTACACTCTATATACGCTTTTGGCGCTTAAATAGGCGTGTGATATCTGACGTCACCGCCTATCCGCGCATGCTCAGAACGAGCGAATTCACCGCTCGCCAACTGCGCATGCGCGGCACCAACCCGGAAGCAACCTCCTAGCAGGAGGCACCCTTGCTGCAGCCGGAACCCAGGCGCTGGCTTAGGCGCGCGCAAGGACATAGCGTGCACGCGAAGCTAGTGTGCCCGTGAACAAGCGGGCACGCGTGAAAACGGCGCACATGCGCCCCAGGAGTTACAGGACGCCGGGAAGGCTAGTGCAAAAAGTTAAAGAAGAAAGGTACAAAGCAATCATAGGTAGGGGGGGGAACCCCACACATATGTAATTAACAGAATATATGAAGAAAGTATTTGTTTGGATGATCTCACTGTTTTTATACATACATGTGGGGTTTTGTACTTCAATGTAGAAATCCATCCAGAATAGGGTCTTCTCGCCACTTCCTGCTACCTCTTGGTCACTGCAGGGAATCAGAATTATTTTGGCATTTATTTTCTCTTGCTACCCCTAGGGTCACTGCAAGTAGGACCCCCGGTCACTAAGGGGGTATCTTCAGGGGGACACCTTTGCACAGGGCCGGATACTGAAGCTTCCCAAGGAAGAGGCTGAACTTCCTTGGGGGTAGAAGGTAAAAACCCTCAGGTAAGCCATAAAAGAAAAGTGATTATAGTCCTAAAATAGACTAATTTGGTCCTACAGGGATAGGACAGGAACAAAAAGACTGAGGGAGGAGGAGGTAGGAGGGGGTATTTGTACCCTTATTTTAATTGGTTCCTGTCTAACTAGGGATAGGGGAAGAGCTACCCATTGTTGTGCTGCCATGGATATGGCCAGGAAAAAGGGTTAAACAAAAAAAAGTCTCTCTTAACGCTTTGCCAATGTCAGGAGATGGAGGAGGGACATAATGTGCATGCCCAGGCATTAGTCCTTCCCCATAGGAAAGCATTACCTGAATGCTTTCCAATGGGAATTTTCTAAACGCTGGATGTCCTTATGCAAATATCTATCATTATATAACACTATACTAATAATGTTTTAATTTGTAATGATCAAGATTCCTGCTTTTGTATGTCTATATGAATGACTATTCATGTTTGGCAATGTCGTTTCCTCCTCCATGTTTGTCCTGAGGAAAGTTCCCACGTGGAACTGAAACGTTGGCAATCTTTTTGACACTTTTTCAGTAAATTATAGTTTTGTGAAAAACCTGAGAGTGCTGATTTTCCTATCCAGTAGATGTTTGACAATGTTTTTTACTCCTATTTACTAAAAAGATGTTACACAAAAAATATGGCTCAGGTGGCAATCCTGGGGATAAATGTGGTGTGAACGCTACAGCTCACACAGGCACTTATGTGCTAATTCAACCGTAGTTTGTAATATTTGTGTAAGCAAGATGAGCCATGTTTGAGAAAAGCGTGTCTTTATAATTAACAAAACCCAGCCTTTTAGTTAAGTAACTTTTTTTTAAACTGCTTTACCGGCTCTGAGTCACAAGCTGTCAGGTATATAGAGAAAACCACAGCACCACCCATAGGCAGACAATCTCATTCTTCTCAGAGCAATGGGCTTGGTCTCTTCCTTGTACACAGAGTGAGGGGGGAGAAATGTTAGGCGGACACATCACACGCGTGCACACCAGACTGTCTAGATGACCTGAGGGATGTATTGAGGTCTCTCAACCAGAGAATAGCCTACCTCCATGACCAGCAGCCTTCCACAATGTCATTATGGACATCCGCTCTATGATTTCATCCAGACAGAAAGCAGGATCTTCGAAATGTAAGGGGGCTAAGCTCCTGTGAGACCTACACTTCACAGCCCAATCTTCCCATATCTCTATGGTCCATAGAAGACATGGAAAACAGCGGCAGGAGAAACTTGATGTTTAGAGGTGTCCATGAAAACTCAGTTATCAAAGATTTGACACAGATCCAACAATCCAAAATTAATCAACTGTAGGGGTGACCCACTGAAAAAAATATAACTATGGAGAGCCCTTATAGAGTGTCAAATCCCCAATGTAATGTTTGACAATACAAAGAGAAGCTTTTTACCTTGCTAAGCGTAAACGTTCTTGTACACCAGGATTTCTACATGAGAAAGGACCTACATATAGAATGCTTCATCTTCAGATAATACATAAATTTAGAGGTGAAGATCTATTTTAAAGTGGTCCGGTCACCAAAAAACATATTTGATTATTTCATAAGGATTACATTTTTATTAAATGCTAGACTGTGTTGGAAACGTAGATTTGGGTCACAACCCAGGTGTAAAAAAAAACATTCATTCATTTACAGACTACGTTTCTCATTAGCAGCCAACAACAGTTTATTGTATAAATATACATGTACATATTAATGGGAATCCAAAAAAAACACACTACATTTAACATTGTATAAAAGATTTTAAAAAATTATATATTTTTTCCTCAAAATAGTGCAAGTATCAGAAAACCATAGAAATGTCTCAAAACTTTATACGGTTATCATTAACAGTAAAAACATGTTTAAAAAATCATGTTTCATGTTTCTCTTTTTTCTCATTCTCTACCAGTTACTGAACGGTAAACTTGTTTTGATTTTGGAGTACGCGTAGGTTTTGTTTAATAGCAACAATGTATTTCAACCTATCGGTGCCGTCTCCTTGTGTCACGTGACAAAAGGCTAGAATTAAAAGGAGATTCCAGTTTTGTATATGCCATCATATACAGTTCTACTTTCTGAGAGGCCCACAGCAGAATCTGTGCGAATACTAGCTCCAAAGTTAACATCTGTCTGAAAATGTATCAGTCTAGTTGGCTTCATTTACAAAATCCATGCAAACTTTTCTCTTACCCTTCCCAAATAACAATTCACATGTTTATGAATTAATCTAATTGCAGACTGCAGCTCAGTGGGAAACTGAACAAACACCACACTTGGAATCTCCACTGTTGAATGGATTATAGATTATCAGGATTCCAATAGAAACCCCACAGGAACTAAAAGATGGGATTGAGCCACATCTTGAAGGCTCAAAATAGAAGATAAACACCTGAAGAACGTTCAGTTAAATACAAGAAAGCTAAATGGCTGTATTTTGTTTTTAATGCATTATTAAATTATTTCAATGTATTTATATAATGCATTAAAATGGGTATATTATCTCCTGCAAATCCAAATGCGAGTCTGAGGATTTAAAAAGTGGGAATAGAGTGCCGTTAGCCGGTGATCAGTGTGGATTTTCTTGTTTGGTATAGCTGGGATACTGAGGATGTTTGCAGCCTGGAATGTCCCTATAAATAGGCCATGAGTCAATATCAGTGACACAAAAATTTACGTGATTAAATATTCATAAAAATCATAGTATCTGTGAGAGTTGAATAGTGGGAAGAACTTTCCTATATTTATAAAAAAATAAATTAAAAAGTCTCTTTTTTTCTGAAACACCGGAATCCAGTAGGGTTTTAAATGTCATACAGTGGCATACGATTCCCGGTAATACATGCGTTCCCAAGCCACAGTCCCAAATGTGCAAAAAAAACTCCAGAGGTTACGGATAATGCCCTTGTCGAAAGGGTTTGTATCCGAATCGCAGTGTTTCAGGTAGGCAATGCGGTGGTGAGACATAAACTCCCAGGTAGTAGTGTTGCACGAAATGAGATAGAGGTGGGATACAAGTAGCAGGGACACTACCAGGGTAAAAATGCAGGTCAAAACGAAAGCGGCGAGCAAGAAAACATTTACTTTTAACCATTCTTTCCATGTAGCTTCAGAGAGAAATCCAGACCTGTGTAAACAATAAGGATTTTCAAGCATCTCTATGCAACTTGTTAGAACTGCAGAAATATTAGAGATGTAGCATGTAAAAGTGTATATGGGAAACATTTTTATAACATAGCTCTAACTACTTTAAGATTTTTTTCTTTCTTTATTAAAGCTTCCAGGAGGGGCAGGGCCTAAAAGCTATTTGGAGGAGACGTGTATTTGCAGAGTTATGCTGCCATCAGCCTAAAAAGCCTTTAACTGCTTCTTGTGATGGATCGACATCTCTTTATTCCTGCATTTAAAGGACCACTATAGTGCCAGGAAAACAAACCCATTTTCCTGGCACTACAGGGTTATTAGGTCACCCCCCCTGCTGGGCTGAAGGGGTTAAGACCCCTTCAGCCACTTACCTTAATCTGGCGCTGGTGACCTCTACTCTCCCTGCCGTCAGCTCCCGAGTGGAGCCGAATGTGCATGCGCGGCCAGAGCCGCGGGCGCTTTCAAACCGCCCATAGGAAAGCATTACTCAATGCTTTCCTATGGGGATCTGAACTCACGCTGCGTGAGTTTAATGCGATTTTCACACTGAGAATCGCGGAAGCAGTCTCTAGTGGCTGTCAGGGAGACAGCCACTAGAGGCTGCATTAACTCTGCAATATAAACATAGCAGTTTCTCTAAAACTGCTGTTTCCAGCTGCAAGGTTAAAATCTGGGACCTGGCACCCAGACCACTTCATTGAGCTGAAGTGGTCTGGGTGACTATAGTGGTCCTTTAAGCTGACTTTAGAGATGCTAACTGTTTGTTAGTACTGTTCTTTTTACTTTATGCAACCTATCTGGAAACACTTGGAGGGAGATTCAGCCACTTTCTTGTCTCCAGTGACGGTCATAGAGATGGCTTATGAACTCCTCCTCCCCCACCCCATTGGAAGCTGGGGATGGATATTCAGGATGGATAACCCTAAATACCTAAATGTGCCATATAGTTCATATCTTGCCAATTACTGTGAGACTATGTCCAGCAATATGGCGGCATGCACTTGTAATAGTTGTCCCAGAGTACGAGTGGGACCATATTCATGCTCATGTCCCGCTGCATTTTTTGTTTAAGGCCCACACAGAGATACATCAGCAAACCTTGTTTCCAAACAGCTTATTCAACAACACATCCTTCTTCATCCTATGCTAATGTGCGAATGCATCATACCACAGGAGTTTATACACTAAATAAGTGAATTGAATACAGAATGGCAAAACTTAAAGGAACACTATAGCGTCAGGAATACAAACATGTATTCCTGACACTACAGTTGTAAAACAGTAGTTTAGGTTTTTACAGTGCCATGCTCCGCCCCCTTGGTGGAGATCAAACCTGATGATCTCAGCCAATCCAATGTTTACCATAAGATACACAGAGTGTGGATTTTACCGAAATGTCAACCCTCGCCTCCCCAAAAATATACATAAGAAAAAGTAAGGACAACCACATAATCACTGTGCCTACAGAAATGGCAAAAGCTGAATATTCCAGTTACCTTGCATATTACCAGCAATTGCAAATCAGTGCGGGTGGTAAGTGGCATCTTTTTATGTAACACACAACCGATAGTTACGGTATCTCTCTGTGCCTGCACACGAATATCTGTGGGGGATCCCATAGGTTTGTGGGATGCCCTTTTGAACCTTAAGTGATGTACCATATGTGGTGCTATGTGCATATCTCCCAAAAGTTCCAGATTAGTCACAAACCAATTTTGGAAATCCTGTACCACAGAGAAGGGTTTGAAGTTGTTGCCCAGTTTCTGGGAACAATGTAATTTAGCCCATACAAACGGTGTTTCCATTGCACTCTACACATGGGCAACGCTAAAACGGGTTGCCCAACCCAGCTCTCAGAGGCACCAGTGCTACACCAGACAGTATGCCTTGAATGATGCTCACAAACTCACTTTTCACTTATTATACCCAATCATCTTTTAATTGAATGCAACAGATGCAACCCTTAAAGGAAGCACATTCCCAGATTATGGTCTTCTGTTATTTTTTTGTGTGTGTTTGCTCTTACATATACTAACCTGATAGTTTAACATGATGACGCTGTATCTAAAATTCTATTATAAAAGTACATATAACATCTCTTACCATCCTAAATGAAAGGCCCAGAGCAGAACCAAAAGTTGGACACACAGATACAGAATGAAGAGAGGATGGTTTTTCTCTCCAACACAGTTTTCAATCCAAGGGCAGTGGTGGTCAAATCGCCGGACACAGTGTTGGCAGGATTTACAGTGACGTGCCCTCATTGGCTGCTGTAGAACAAAATGCAAACTGTCAAGATAAATCAGTAAGTCAGACCTACCTTCATATCTATTAGATACTGCAGATTGTATGATGATATGCTAAAGTGAAAAATGATTTTACTACAAGATGGGTACTGCTTGTTTATTTTCTTAAGTTCTGTTTTACTACTTGTATGTTTCCTCGTCTGATACGGGTTAAATTCCACGCACTGTGGTGCTACATTCAGTTATGCTCTGAACACAATTTTGGTGGTATTGTCTCACCCAACGCTGCCCCCTTGGTCAGGAGTATCCATCACAGATGCGCCTACACAGTATATTAAAGAAGCGCTATCGTACCCGTGGCTACAGCCATTATTTTATCCAAATAGATCCATATTTTCCTGTAATACTTTGGCTCCTGGTTCTAATCGTTTGAATACCTATGTTGCACTAAAATATAAAATTGAGGTATAAATCGTGGCAAAAGTGACAATATTTGACAATTGTGCCTTACTCAATGTGCAGTTACTGCTATATTTTTCTGTGTATCACTCTACGTAATTATTATTATTTTTTTTTTATAAAGCATAGATTTCATGAAAGGAAGCTTGCAATTGCACAGAACAGAAGACACACAGCGGCCATTTACAGAAGTCTTTCCCTAGCAGGCTGTATGGTATTACTGTGTTGTGTTCTTGGGAAGTTTTTAGTACTTTGTTTTCGCCAATTGTCCAAGCAAAGCACATAAGCACCAACCTTCAACAGGCAATATCCACAGCGCCTTAAAGACACGAGATTAGGATTCTCCACGATCATTCCATCTGACTCTTTGTTCGTGACTAGAAGGTGAAACTAGTGAAACAAAAAAAATGAAGCATGAAGATTATATCATTTGTCTGTGCTGCATTATATTCTTCTTCATTTGTGCAAAGAACACAGACTTACCTTCTCATCACAGTCAGACAGCACATAGCCAGGATCCATCAAAGATACCACGAAGTACAAGACTACCGAAAACAGGACCAGGAAAACAAAGCACAAAGGCCGAAACATCTTCTCTGTATCATCTTGACGCCAAAGATCTTAAATACAAATAAAAAATAAATAAGAAAACATTCATCAAATGTATTGTGCTGCTATAACTCATATATATACACACATGAGAGGAACTAGAGTCAAAGTTAACATAGATGGCATGAGCTACAGCTGCAATGGATCTCCTGTGCACACGGATGGAATAAACTCTTAAATTAAAACCCCAGCATTATACAAAATATATAATACTAGAAAAGCTACAATTTCTGGGGAAATTGTGTGAAGTGTTCTTGCCTCCACCAGTAGTCTACAACTGGAGTGGGCGGAGTAACTGTTATCATTTACATAGCACATTTAATTGCAACGTTGTTGCACAGTTACATTAAACCATACATTTATAAAAACATTAGCAGGTGTTCAAAAGGCCCTGTCTATGACATCACTTGCTGCTGCAGCTTGACACAGGTCAGAGTATTTTAGCGGTTGCCATCTTCAAACGGTCGTATCTTAAAAACTATAACTCCTACAGTGAAGAGCTTTATATTGTGAGAATCACAAGACCCAGACCTACATTTTGATGCATAGTATGTCTCTGAAGTATTAAAATTGAAGGCACAGTCGCAGTTTAGAAATTACACTTCAAATTTGAGCTTTGCAGAGTGAAGTTTCAAATGAATGTCAATGGACGGCGTTAGTTGCAAACAAATGCTTATATTGTGAAAAGTATCAGGACTATGGCTTAGCCGTTGACATATTTAGTGGCAGCAGGGATAGCTGAACGTTTTGATATAAGATTTGTGTAGCTGGGCCTGAAAATAAGGGAGTGGTGGCAGTTTAGAAATCATGTCCTGATTTTTCAGCTTTTGCCAGCTCCCACTCTAGCTTTGCCATTCATTCCTATGGGACAAATTGCGCCACAAGAACGACGATATTCCGTGAACCATTCGGCGAAACGTTCCACAAAGTAATAGCAATCCGATGGGGAACAATCTGCACGTTTTGGTAAATTTTTGTCTATGTAGTGTAAAAACTGTGGGAGGAGTTAGGGTGGCAAATTTTGCTATAATAAGAATAATAATAATATATATGTGAGATAACATTAAGTGGTCTTGCTATGCAAGAACACTTAATAAATGACAGCTGTGCAATCTTGTCACCTCATAAAAGCGCAATTTCTCTTAAACACTTTTGTAAAGTGACAAATGGAAGATGCTGTGTTAAGCCCTAAGGCACCTGAGAGTGCTCCTATAATATTCAAATAGTTCAAAAATGTCATGTGACGTGAAGTCACCCATTTAGTGGGTAAAATGTAAAAAAGAAACAGTTTTGATATAGATCATATATCTACAGTGTAGATGGCTGCTCACTTCCTTAAACTCAACCTGTCCAAAACAGAACTTCTGGTCTTTCCTCCCTCAAGTGTTACTACTCCCGTGTCTGTCTCCCTCCAAGTCAACGGCGCTACCATCACCTCTACCTCGAAGGCTCGCTGCCCAAGTGTTCTTTTTGACTCTAACCTCTTCTTCACCCCTCATGTCCAATCAATCGCCAAATCCGGTCGCTTCCATCTCAAAAACATAGCATGCATTCGCCCCTATTTAACCCCAGATGCGGCTAAGGTGCTGGTCCATGCTCTTGTTCTCTCTCGCCTTGACTACTGCAATACCCTTCTCGGTGATCTTACGTGTTCCCAGATTGCACCACTGCAATCTATAATGAATGTGGCAGCAAGGCTCATTTTCCTGTCCGCTCGCACCTCCCACGCCTCCCCGCTCTGTCAGTCCCTGCATTGACTTCCAGTTAGATATAGGGCTCAATTGTAAATTCTGGTGCTTGCTTACAAGTCCCTACATAAATAATTGAAAACTCACTTCTTCAAGAAAGCATATCAATTAAACTGTTAGCAGGTTTTTATCCCCCATGACTCCTCTCCTGCAACTGTCAAAAATTGTATATAAAAACTGGTGAGAGCACACTAAGTGTATATATAAAAAATACAAGACAAGATTACCATCAATAAGTAGATACCTAAAAAGATAAAAAAAAATGGTAGGCAATAGTGAACTCTGTATGTACAATAAAAGTTGGTGTAAATACAAATCGGTCTCACTCACATTTTATTGAGCCAACTAGAATGGGCTCACACTAAAAAAGCCTTTGGAATAAATATAGTTGAGATCAGGAATTGGCACCAATAACTGGATGCCCACAAGTTGCTGGATATAGATTCTCCCTTTGGGTTCCCAAAAAGTGTCCCTGGCAGATATAGCACTGTTCCCCATACTCCATTAATGAGTATGTAAAAGGTACAGACACCCTCTCCTCCTTGTAAAGTGGTTATGGTAGCTGAGGGAGGTGTCCCTGGCAGATATAGCACTGTTCCCCATACCCCATTAATGAGTATGTAAAAGGGACAGACACCCTCTCCTCCTTGTAAAGTGGTTATGGTAGCTGAGGGCAGTGTCCCTGGCAGATATAGCACTGTTCCCCATACCCCACATATGATTATGTAAAAGGTACAGACACCCTCTCCTCCTTGTAAAGTGGTTATGGTAGCTGAGGGAGGTGTCCCTGGCAGATATAGCACTGTTCCCCATATCCCATTAATGAGTATGTAAAAGGTACAGACACGGTCAGTGGGGGCCCGGTGAGTTCTAAACGCACCCCAGGGGACTTGGGAGCCCACACACACACACACACGAGGCCCCACGGAGATGGAGGGGATATAACCAGGACACATGGGGAGGGGGGAGAGGGACCAACCCTAACTTTGGCCGTGATGCAGGGCCTGCAGGGGGGGGGGGAAAAGGGCTCACCCTCAAAAAATTTGTGGAATCCTCTGGGGGAGCCTTGACCCATGGCATGGGCCGCAGCCGACTGCCATACTGGGGCACATATAAGCCGGAGAGACCCGGGGGTCACGCACGGGCACTTGGGCGGGGGGCGCATGGAGGGAAGCCCACTTTGACGGGCAGGGGTAAAGAAGTGTGGCCCGCCACGGAGTCCCCCCACACCCGGAAACCCTACAAGGTGGCGTAAGAGCAAGTTATACGGGATTACATAGAGCCCCCAACTCGTAGGGAGGAAGCATTCCATCAGTCCCCGAGACACTGGACATTTCTACTGACTTCTCCGCCCAAACTGGATCTGCGAATCTCGCACCCTCACAACTAGGGGTGGACCGAGGAAATGTGAAGCTGGAGGAGGGGGTGAACTTGGTCTGAGAACGATGTCTGCTATTGTTGGTGTGGGGTTTTTTTTTTTTTTTTAAAGAGCCGAAGCTAGGTTTATACCCCTCCCACAGGGCCTGAGATCACACGCATGGAGACCTTCCCTCACTCTAACGGCAGGGGAGGGACAGGGCTACGTTCTATAGGCACAGGTTAACAAACAGACTCTCAGATGGGACTGGGGAGGGAGACTAAGCAGGACCCTAAACCACCACCCCATGCGGGTGCCTGACAGCGTTATCCCAGGGCCTCTCCCCCGTAGGCACTACAGCAGACCTGACGGACTCTCAGGACTACCCATTCCCGCTCCTGTGCGTGGGGATGAAGTAGAAACAGATGACTTGACCCAACTGGGACATGACAAGGGACACGACGAGCTCCCCTCACCCACGCCCTGACGCGCAGCTGCATCCCCGGAGACCTGGGACTAGATGACCGGGGCCGGAGCCCCCCACACACTGACAGGCGTACGGCTGATGTTAGCCAAATTGACCATATGAGATCCACCGGTGACCTTATGCCTCCTGCATCTCCTGTATGCCTCGGCCAGGGGGAAGAGGGGACACGGTTTTGATACACTACAAGTCTATTAACTAACACATCCCTGTAGACAGGGATCCATACTTCCTACCATAGTTAACTCACCTCTACTAAATCACTGTAAACACACCGGGGGAATACTCCCCAACACAAATCGCAGGTGAAGGCTGAGTCCTGCGCTAGTGCTCCAAGGGACCTGCGTCCTCTAGACGGGCACCCTCCTAAAACTGGTGGGGGGGTGTTGGACACCCACTCTCCGTGGACCCACAAGTCACCACCACCACAGGTGCCGAGTCGCTGCGAGCCCGCACCGGGCTTGACACATTCTTCTCTTCCTACCCCTGCCCTTTTCCCCCTCTCTCCCCTCTTTCCCACCTCTTGTCTCACGAGCCATGGGGACGGGGTTCACGCCTGCGCCCCTCCATGTCTGGTCAAGTAATGTCCGAGGACTGAATGTACCAGAGAGAAGATCCCATCTGTTGCGCTCCCTATGGGCCGAGCGGGTATCCGTTGCACTCCTGCAGGAGACCCACTTTCGAGGCGACGCTAGCCCACAGCTGAAAGACGCACGATACCCGCTGGGGTTCTTTGCAAATCACCAGACGGCCAAAAAGGCGGGAGTGGCAATCCTGTTCGCAAGCACGATACCGTTTGAGTGCGCGGCTACTATGGCGGACACTATGGGACGCTATCTGTTTGTAAAAGGCACTATAGCCGGCTGCTCTTACACTTTCGCTAGCATCTATGCGCCCAACATCCGGCAATCTAAATTCATTAGAACGACGCTGAATAAACTTGAGGCATTCCGGGAGGGCTTGCTAGTGGCGGCAGGCGACCTGAATGTTGCCCTAGAACCGAGGACTGACACCTCTAGGGGGACTAGCTCCTTCCCGTCTCGGGGCCTACGAGTCATACGAGAGGCGCTCCGAGGCTCCGGCCTCATGGATGGCTGGAGGGTGCTTCACCCCGAGGATAAAGACTTCACTTACTACTCCACGTTACATAAGTCTTATAGCAGGCTAGATTATATATTTGTGGCCCAAGAATTCCTACCTATGTTACTCTCAGCAGAGATACGGCCCATGGGATGGTCTGACCACTCACCGGTTTCAGTAACACTTAGATCCCCCCTATATCGCCCAAGAGAAAGGCAATGGCAGATGAATGAGTCGATACTCAACGACGCACCAGTAACAATGGAACTCCGATCTACGCTAACCACATTCTTTGAGGAGAATGAATCCCCGGAGATACCAGCCCTGACGATATGGGAGACACACAAATGCGTTATCCGAGGGCAGCTGATTAAGATTTGTACCCATCGGCAGAAGGTACAGCGACAACGTGTGACTGAACTGACTGCGCAGATCTCGGCGCTGGAAAACACTCACAAGTCCACCCAATCGGACAACAACTACAAGGCTCTACTGGAAGCCAGACAAGCACTGAGAGACATCCTGCACCGCAAACTACAGTACACTATACGTAAATCACATAGATTTTTTTATAAATACTCGGGCAAATGTGGCCGCCTTCTGGCCCATACGCTCCAAAGACAACGCCGACTGTGCCACATCACAAAAATTAAAGACAGGGCACAAGTAGCCACGCAACTCCCTGACAAGATAGCCGATGCATTTCACGGTTTCTACAGCGACCTATATAACCTATCCCCAGATGGCAGCACAGATGACTGCCCCCACAGGGACATATGAATTGGGGACTACTTGCAACAACATGTCACGAGAACCCTAAGCCAAGCTGTGGCTGAAGAACTGGAAGCCCCAATTACACTAGAAGAACTTCAGGCTGCGCTGAAGGGATCCAAGCCCAATAAGGCCCCGGGCCCGGATGGGTTACCGGTCCGATACATCAAAAATTTTGGTGATGTGCTCCTGCCTAAATTACTCACAGGACTCAACTCCCTACTAGACGGGGGGACACTCCCGAGAGACGCCCTATCGGCAACGATAGCAGTCATCCCTAAGGAAGGCAAGGATCCAACCAACTGTACAAGCTACCGACCAATTTGACTCCTGAATGCGGACCTGAAACTCTTCACGAAAGTCCTAGCGACACGGATAGGAAGAGTTCTGCCGGACTTAGTCCATCCCGACCAGGTAGGGTTCATCCCTGGCCGGGAAGCAAGAGATACCACCATACGGGCCCTGAACGTCATGCATGCGGCCAGACGCTCTGCACAGAAGGTCCTTCTCCTTTCCACCGATGCGGAGAAGGCCTTTGACCGGGTGGATTGGCGCTTCATGCTGGCTACACTCAGAGCCATGGGCTTCGGTCCGCATTTAATGGCGTGGATCTCCTCCCTGTACACGATCTGGTCGGCAAGGATACGGATCAACGGAGCTCTCTCAAAGCCGGTCCATATACGCAACGGGACGAGACAGGGGTGCCCGCTGTCCCCCCTTCTGTTTGCCCTCTCCCTGGAACCTTTCCTGGGGGCGGTCAGACAGGACGGGGGCATAGGAGGATTTACCCTACTGGGACAGGAACATAAGGTAGCCGCGTATGCGGATGACATGTTGTTCTTCGTTAGCGAGCCGATAGTTTCCCTCCCGAACCTCCTGAGGGCCTTTGCTGAATACGGGCAGGTATCCAACCTGAAACTAAACAAGGATAAATTGGAGGCGCTCCCCATCTCGACAGGAGAAGTGATGACTACCCACCTTAAGACCCAATTCGCCTTCACGTGGTGCCACATCAGGCTCAAATACCTGGGAATCTGGCTGACGGCTGACCTGACCCAGCTATACACACACACAACTTCGCACCGAAGGTACACAAGCTGGGGTCAGACCTGACTCGGTGGGCAGGTCTATGCATCTCGTGGTTCGGGAGAATGAATGCTATTAAAATGAACCTCCTACCCCGACTCCTGTACCTGTTCCAGACCATACCAATCAATATTCCGAGGGCCTTCTTCCGAACGATGGACACAGCCATCACCAAATTCATATGGCAATCTAAGGCACCCAGACTGAGGAAGCTACACCTCCGCCTACCCAAGGCACAGGGTGGAGTGGGTCTTCCATCAGTCCTGGATTACTATAGAGCGACACATCTCCATAGAGTCGTGGGCTGGCACGTGCCCAACACTAGCAAACAATGGATACACATGGAACAGAGCCAAATGGATGGGTCGATCCCGGCCGTGGTGTGGCTTGGGGGCACCTTGACGAACGCGCGCTCCCGTAACCACCCGCTCATCGGAGCGACGCTGCGAACCTGGTACTCCGTGAGAACTACCCTAATGCTGACCACCACTCCGGGACCACTGACGCCAATCACGCATAACCCGGACCTGGCGGGTGGCCTTACACCACAAGATATCAAGGCCTTCGGAGACTCGGATTGGACGTACATGCACCAATGGTGCACAGGGGACTCGCTGAAGCAACTACAGGATCTGATGCCAGAACGGACACCTTCGGGGTTAGATAGATTCCGATACTTCCAGACTAAAACCTACTATCAGTCCCACTACGGGAAGCATCTTTTTCACAGGCCCCTGACAGGATTCGAACAACTTTGCACGACACGCAAACACCTGTGCAGAGGAATCTCGTACCTCTATACAATGCTTCTGTCCTCACTGCAGCCTACACCCCTTAAACACATTACGCGCAGGGAGGAAGCCACGGGAGTCGCATTGACGGACCCCCAGTGGACGAAAATCCATATCTTGACACACCAAAGTTCGATGTGCACCAAACAACAAGAACTCAACTTTAAGCTGTTGACCAACTGGTACAGGACTCCTGAGAGAATACACAGGGTGATACCGGATGCCCCGGCAACCTGCTGGCGCTGTGACGAAGAGGTGGGCACGGACCTGCATATCTGGTGGTCCTGCAGAAGAATAACCCCATACTGGCAACAAATACATTCACAGATCAAAAACATCACAGGCACGGATACCCCGCTCCTCCCACTTCAGATGCTCCTCCATCACACCTCGCTTCCCCTATCGAAATACAAAAAGTCGCTGACTAAGCATTTACTGAATGCAGCCAAATTGCTAATCCCGAGGAAGTGGCGAACCACGCAGATACCCAGCCTCCAGGAATGGATGGAACAGGTTGAAGAAATCCATGTCATGGAACAGCTGACGGCCTCCCTCCGCGGAACCACAGAGCGATACATGCAAATCTGGACACCTTGGCTGCTATTCATCTCCGGGAGACAGACATAAACAGCGAAACCTAAGCACACCGGAGAGCGGGACACGCGGAGGCAAGGGATACCTGGACCGCAAGGGCGCCTCTTTGGACCGTGGGCATGCTCGGCCGGAGTGGAGGAATGGAGAGGGACGCCGTGTCCCCCGCAACACAGGCACTGACATGACCCTAATCCTCCTCCCCCCCCCCTTCTCTCTTCCTCTCCTCTCCTACTCCCGCTCCTCTCTCTTTCTTCCGCTCCCTTTATCTCTCCCGCCCCCGAACGATGTGTAGATACAAGCCCGGGGCGGACCGCACCCACACACCCTGATGTAATTTTAAAACCTGAACAGTCAAACTAGCGCGAGAGCCCCTGCGAACACACGGATTCCGCAAACTAAGGGGAACGTGCAAGCAGGCTGCTACTGGGAGGCATAGCAATGCCGATGACCCCCAAGACCGCAGACAACCTTCCAGCCACCACTGCCTACATACATGACAGGACTTGACTCGGGAACACACGAGACAGTTTAAAGTCACCTAATGACTGACTGCAGCGAGAAGGGCACGGGACTGACTTAACAACAATACGAATATGACGGATAAACTAGGCTTAATCTGGGGCGAAGTCCAGGATCAGGCCCCACGGCTACGCAGAGAAAGGGGTCGGCATAGACTCATGGTCTACTCACATACATTTCCTATAAGTTTTACTACATAGCCTCGAATTGTATCGCCTTTATTTGTTAGATAAGCCGAAACTAATACATTCATACGCATTGAAAGCCACAATCTTGATATGTAAAACAAATGTTATTTCCTGACGTTGTACTTTGACATTGTACTAGATTAACCACTGTTCGTATTTCAATAAAAAGAGATTGACCCACAAAAGGTACAGACACCCTCTCCTCCTTGTAAAGTGGTTATGGTAGCTGAGGGCAGTGCCCCTGGCAGATATAGCACTGTTCCCCATACCCCGCTAATGGGTATGTAAAAGGTACAGACACCCTCTCCTCCTTGTAAAGTGGTTATGGTAGCTGAGGGCAGTGTCCCTGGCAGATATAGCACTGTTCCCCATACCCCGCTAATGGGTATGTAAAAGGTACAGACACCCTCTCCTCCTTGTAAAGTGGTTATGGTAGCTGAGGGCAGTGTCCCTAGCAGATATAGCACTGTTCCCCATACCCCATTAATGAGTATGTAAGAGGGACAGACACCCTCTCCTCCTTGTAAAGTGGTTATGGTAGCTGAGGGCAGTGTCCCTGGCAGATATAGCACTGTTCCCCATACCCCATTAATGAGTATGCAAAAGGGACAGACACCCTCTCCTCCTTGTAAAGTGGTTATGGTAGCAGAGGGCAATGTCCCTGGCAGATATAGCACTGTTCCCCATACCCCATTAATGAGTATGTAAAAGGGACAGACACCCTCTCCTCCTTGTAAAGTGGTTATGGTAGCTGAGGGCAGTGTTCCATTAATGAGTATGTAAAAGGGACACACACTTTCTCCTCCTTGTAAAGTGGTTATGGTAGCTGAGGGCAGTGTTCCTGGCAGATATAGCACTGTTCCCCATACCCCATTAATGAGTATGTAAAAGGGACACACACTTTCTCCTCCTTGTAAAGTGGTTATGGTAGCTGAGGGCAGTGTCCCTAGCAGATATAGCACTGTTCCCCATACCCCATTAATGAGTATGCAAAAGGGACAGACACCCTCTCCTCCTTGTAAAGTGGTTATGGTAGCAGAGGGCAATGTCCCTGGCAGATATAGCACTGTTCCCCATACCCCATTAATGAGTATGTAAAAGGGACAGACACCCTCTCCTCCTTGTAAAGTGGTTATGGTAGCTGAGGGATGTGTCCATGGCAGATATAGCAATGTTCCCCATACCCCATTAATGAGTATGTAAAAGGGACACACACTTTCTCCTCCTTGTAAAGTGGTTATGGTAGCTGAGGGCAATGTCCCTGGCAGATATAGCACTGTTCCCCATACCCCATTAATGAGTATGTAAAAGGGACAGACACCCTCTCCTCCTTGTAAAGTGGTTATGGTAGCTGAGGGCAGTGTTCCTGGCAGATATAGCACTGTTCCCCATACCCCATTAATGAGTATGGAAAAGGTACAGACACCCTCTACTCCTTGTAAAGTGGTTATGGTAGCTGAGGGCAGTGTCCCTGGCAGATATAGCACTGTTCCCCACCCCATTAATGAGTATGTAAGAGGGACAGACACCCTCTCCTCCTTGTAAAGTGGTTATGGTAGCTGAGGGAGGTGTTCCTGGCAGATATAGCACTGTTCCCCACCCCATTAATGAGTATGTAAAAGGGACAGACACCCTCTCCTCCTTGTAAAGTGGTTATGGTAGCTGAGGACAGTGTTCCCCACCCCAGAGTAATGGACTGGCTCCTGACTAACCAGTATCGTGCAGGAATAGCACCAGAGTAACAGCCCAGGTCAGCACCGAGTGCACCGTCCTCACCAGCACCCCGGTACCGAGCACACTTCTAAACATAATGCCACCAAGCCCCCCGTCATCTGGCCCTCTCCTTCAGCCTGCAGGCAGGGACAGCCACCAACCCGGAAGCGCATGGCAGGCCTTGGAACGCGGAAGTGAATTTCCATGGCAACAAGACCCCAGCAGCTGACTGGAGAGAGCGTGGAGTTTCGTGAGATCTGATTGGTCGCTTTTTGGCGGGAATCTGCCTTATAGTAATTGCAAGGATAAGACACAATGTGGCATTAACTGTGTTAAGGGTCTACCTGCTCCCTCAATGTAAATGTCATATTAACACATTAATCAGGGGGCTTCTGGCTCAGTTAGTTTTGTTGAAATAGTCATAAAATAGGTTAGACTTAAGCACTCTTTTGTATATATATCTATATTTATTTATTTATTTTATATGATGTATGTAATAAAAGTGTGTAGAAAATACTTCTGCGTGTCTATTTAAAGGACAGTCTAAGCATTGAAATCAATTCGTCTGTTTTCACCTAACATTACCAGCACAGTGTGAATACATGACAATTTACAATCTGTAACTGATATTCTTCTTCACTGTGAACCTGACTTGTATTCAATGAATTGTGAATTGTTGGGATATTCCCAGGGGATTGCACATTTAAGGTAGAGTACATGTCACAGTCAAGTGATTTTTTTTTTCTTCCAGTTCCCTGGTGAATTTTTAACAATTCCTGATTTAGTGAATAGCTCTTACAAGACTCATCATTCACCTTTTGAATATACTTTACTCTGCTATTAGTTCTGCCCAGCCATGCTTGTAATGCCCCCTGCCATCTATCTCATACCTATTACTCTCAACCCTCCATGTTATGACCCATGCCGCCCAACACATTCTCCTGTTCTGGAGACGCCAATTTTATCTAATCCCTACGTTTTATATCGATCCTTCCCAAGCATAATGTTGCTCTTTTTGCCAAACATCTTCATATCCCTGCCATAAGCCTATCCCCTAGATATCCATGGCATGCAGTCACTGATTATGCGCTGCCTTATCTCTCATCACATTATTCTTCTCTGCCAACCTTTGTTTGCCACCTGTCACTGCTGACCTGGAGGGGGAAAGGTAGCTATTTATGCCCCCATTAATTATTAAACTGACAATAACTGCTGCGACTCTTATTATGCTGAGAGGAGAGGAGACCCCATCCTGTTGCAGAGGTCTGTCTGGTCCTGCTTTCGAAATGCAGAAAGAGCCAAAGGGACCATGGGCTATAGCCCACTAATGTACGTTGTGGTACGTCTATGTTAAATTTAATCTGCCATTTTAGTGCCCAGTCCTCCAATCTATCCAAATCTCTCTGCAGTAAAGCAATATCCTGCTCACATTTTATTACTTTACAAAGTTTTGTGTCATCTGCAAACACTGATACATGGCTTTTAATGCCGATTTCAAGATCATTTATAAATATGTTAAATAGATGCGGTCCCAAAACAGAACCCTGAGGGACACCACTTACCACTTTTGTCCAGCCTGAAAATTTACCATTAATGACAACTCGTTGTACTCTATCCTTAAGCCAGTGTTCTACCCAAGAACAAGAATATTCATCTAGACCAATTTCTTTTAGTTTGAGGGATTACATTTCATCTATGCGTTGTACCGGCAGTTTTGTTAGCAAATGTATTGAATGGAGGAAAAAAATATTTAAAAATAGGTCTTTCCCAAGATGAAGATTCTACCATGCATCCTCTACCTGTTCCAGGCGCTCCCCTCAAGATCCTGGCCGCGTACTTCACATCCCTAAGATCACTCATAATAAAATACATATGGGGCTCTCAGAAACCCCTCATACGTTACCAAATTCTGACCAAACCAAAAGCGGAGGGGGGACTGGCAGTCCCTGATTTTCTTCTATATTACCACTCCACCCACATGCAAAGGGTCCCTAGACTGGGTCAAGGGAGGGGTAACCAAATTATGGAAAGACATTGAGCAGCGCCAAGCGGGCGGCTTCTTGCAAGCTCTAGTTTGGATGACACAGGGAGAGAGTAAGTTGTTAACCAGCCAACAGCCATGTGTCAGGGCTACACTTGAACTCTGGCACCTACTGACCCCCAAGTTAGGCCTATCATCCTTCCCATCCCCTCTGTATCCCCTTATCAACAACCCCCGACTTCCCACCGGGCTTAGGGAACAGACCTTATGCATGCTTTTTCCCACACGCACAGGTTCAGGCCCGCCACATGATTAAAAAAAAAAGACTCAAGACCTTAGCAGACTTATTGGGGTGCAACATAGGAACTTTCATGCATAGGTTCAAGTACGAACAACTGAAAAGGTACCTCACCCACATACCTCAACAACTAGATCTGCACAGGGCTGTCACCCCCTTCGAACAGAATTGCACAGATCCTGCCCCACAAACACACACAGTCTCTTATCTATACTCCCTACTCCAAACAAAGGGGAATACACCAGCACCTGGCTACATGGGGAAATGGGAAGAGGACCTTGGGGAAATCCTCACAGACGCCCAATGGGGAAAAATTTGCGACCTTGTGCATCACTGCGCGTTAGCTAGCAGAACCCAAGAGACAGCCTACAAAGTCTTAACACTATGGTACAAAACAATGCTCCTCCTCCAGAATATCAACCCTGCCTTAGACGGCAACTGTTGGCGCTGCCGAGCCGCATTGGGCAAGTTCATGCACATATGGTGAGAATGCCCTAAAATTCAACCTTTTTGGAGGGCAATTAGCTCAATTTTAGGGAAATTTTCAGATAAACCACCACCTTTGAAACAGCTAAATACAAGAGATCCATGTCCATACGAATCCTGAACACGGCCAAACAGGTCATCCCCCTCTACTGGAAACAAGAGGAACCCCCGCCCCTAACACTATGGTTTGACAAAATGGAGGGCTTAAGACGAGGAGCTGACCCTTGTGTCCCAGGGACGTACACAGTTATACATAGAGTGTTACACACATGAGTTATACTCATTGGCTGCTCGATGCTTATCACCCAGACTTTCAAGCATTGTTGACATTCCAACTTCCTATGGGCTCAGCTGGGGGGTTAGGTGTGCCAGATAGGGGGACAGGCCCTGGGTCACCGGTGGGATGAAGCCGACCCCTGGGTGAGATGTGATGCATCCTCTGGCAGATGTTGGGGTGCCAGAGCGGGCTAGGCAGTTGACCTGCCAACCAACATAGTGAACTCGTCCATTCTTTGACACATGACTTGCAATGGAGGAGACAAATTGCTCGTACTCACTGGCACATAGTTAGGGCTCGACCTGAGATGGTGGAATGGGACATCGGGGATAGGGACACCATTTTATAGCGACTATACCAACTGTTTCTGAGGACATACTAATTCATGCTGAAGGTCTACGACTTCCTCGTTCCTCTCAACTTTGATTCAGCCTGACGAGAATGTTTGTTCTGTTAACATAGCTTGATTAGAGATAGAGGCACAGGCCAAGGAGAAAGGAAGACCATTTTTGACGGAATGCACTACCTGTTACGGACATGTCTTAAGATAAGGACTCATGGGTCACAATTTATGTCTCTGTTTTTCTTTTATTATTTTTGCTGATGCTACATCAGCCCTGCGTGGCTGCCTGCAAGGTTATTGTGCGCTTTCGAAGAAGAAAAAACTATTGTTACCATTGCTACATGCATATTTTGTTAACTGCAAATATTTTCTATTTGGTGACGACAAGTAAAACTCTTATTCACAAAAAAAATTGGTCTTTCTCCCACTTCTCAGTCAAATCTTCGTCACTTATTCTATACCGACAATTTGACTGCAAGGGAGAGCAGAAAAGACCACCCACAGGCGATCCTTGTGCTCTCCCAAGCATGATCCACAGCTATGCATTGTTCAAGTGTATTGAAGACAGAGCAGGGTTAACCATAAGATGACCTTAGGTAGGGCCCAGGAATCATTAATCTGCTCAGCCCCATTCACTGTCTACATGAACAATAAAAGGGGGGCACAAACGAGTAGCCTGCATAGGGCTCGGTGGGATCTTAGTCCCTCTCTGATTAAAACATCTGCTTTTTTGACCTTGACTTTCCATAGCCACAATATGCAGCCATATGCACTGATTTCCATGGTTGAGCTGATGTCATTATAAGTTTACACAGAACACTCACAGTCCACTTAATCAGCTAGGCTTCAGAAACAGGTACGAATATATTTTACTTGTTTAATAAAAATAAAAACAAATTATACTTGTTTAATGTACATGACCTTTATTGGTAACCTGAAGGTAATTAATCCCTTCCACACATTTATGTGTGAGGTGCTACATAATAGTTGCTAAATAAACTGGTCTTTGAAAAACAAGAAAGGGTAAATAAATCTATTGATGTAATATCAAAACCGAATTTTTATTTACTTTTTTTATTATTTTTTTTTATTTAGTACAAAAAATGTGAATAACAGTTATGTAGGTTTTTCATATTCTATTGATTAATGACCCACTTCAACCAATTAAATTGATTTATAATCCCCCCCCAAAAACCCTGAGAATAAAATAATGATATTAGATTGCAACATCTTGGTTTGTCACATTGTCACCAGGCACAGGACATCTCAGATGAATTGCTGTTCCTTCTTGGCCATGCGGGGTTCCAACCAAGCTCAGACTGGGTGTCATCTACTAGCTGTCTACGCCGTCTGATACTTCGCCTGCTACACCAAACCTTGGGCAAAGTTTTCACCTTCAAAAACCAGGACATACAGACGTTTTGAAGGTTATTATTCTTGATAATGTTTATTTCAATACCACACCTTAAAACTAATTAGTACAATTCAAAAACATGGTTTCAAATAAGCTAATACAGTAAAACTCTACATAAAATATCTTACTATGTACTGTGGAAAGGTCCAAATGTGCTGCTTACCAGCTTATAGTCTACTGCAGTGGTTTCTAACCCACTCATCAAAATAGAAAATGGTTACCTGTTCATTAATAGGACTGTACAAAGAAAAAGAGTCAACTTATGTAAAGTTAAAGAAAAGAGATATTGCTTACAGCAGAGGAAAGGGTTCTTTGCAGTAAGAACAATACAGATGTGGAATTCTCTGCCTTACAGAGTTTCGGTGGACTAAATGCAGATTTTTTTAAAAGCAAAACATCTGGATACTTGTAAAAATAGCATATTCAAATGGACACTATAGTCACTAAAACAACTTTAGCTTAATGAAGCAGTTGTGGTGTATATATCATGCCCCTGCAATCTCACTGCTCAATTTTCTACAATTTAGGGGCTAAATCACTTTGTTTATACAGCCTCAGTCACACCTCCCTGCAAGTGACTTACATAGTCTTCCTAAACACTTCCTGTAAAGAGTCATCTAATGTTTGCACTTCCTTTATTGCACATTCTGTTTAATTTATAGTTTCTTATCTACTACTCTGTTAACTTATTGCTAGACTCTACAGGAGCCTCCTGTAGGTCATTAAAGTTCAATTTACAGAGCAGGAGATTTAAAAAAAAAAAACTTTAAAAGTAATTTACATCTGATTGAAATGAAACCATGTTGTTCCCATGCAGGCTGTGTCAGTCACAGCCATGGGAGGTGTGGCTAGGCACCCAGACCACTTCAGCTCATTTAAGTGGTCTGGGTGCAGTGACCCTGTCCCCTTAACCCTGCAATGGTAGTATTGCATTTTCCGAGAAACTGGGCCTTGTGCTTGCGGCGTTAACCCTTACACTGCGGGTGAATACAATTGCTAAGAATGAGACTTTGTTTTCCTAGCACTATAGTATCCCTTTAACTCCTAAATGGTAGTGAATTGAGCAGTAAGAGTGCAGAAGCATGATGTCGGCGGGGGAGGAGCGTGGGTGGTGCCTGACCCATCACCAAGGGACCCCTTCAGAGACGTGGGATGGGGGGGTGGGAGGGAGGGGAGCACTCCAGGATTCTCCAGTGCCAGGAAAACGGGTTTGTTTTCTTGGCACTGGAGAATCCCTTTAATATGTGGAGTAAATAGCTTGTTGATACAAGGAGAAACCTTCATCAATTTATTTATTTTTTGCTTTTTGTGGTAATCTTTTTATAAAAAGCTGAACTTAACAAGCTTGGGATCATTGTTAAGCCCATGTTTACATGATAACCATGCAACCTAGAATCCAGGATTTAGATATTTCCTAACTCTGTTCTAATGGGATACTGACAAAAATGTAACTGCTGGTGTGCCATGAAGACTGGATTGGGGACTAGAGAGGCCGAGGGTCACAGAGGCAGAAGTTAAGAAGGTTCTGTACAAGAAGGTCCGATGTGAGGGTGGAGGATGGAGATGGAGGAGTTGGTAACGTTTAGGAATTTTTAATATTATGTTAACCTAGCCCTGTATTTAGCAAATATGTGTGTGTGAAAAATCAAATTAAATGTGGAAATCCACACCTCAGTCTTTATCCTGAAACTGGGTGCCTCCATCTTGGCTCCCTGTCAATCATTGTTATAAGCTCTGCCCTTTGCACCAGGCAGTTCGCATAGAGAGAGCATTAAGATAAATATTGAAATTAAATAATGTTTCTATTTCTCCTTTTCGTTTGCAATGTGTACCCTGGCTTCGCTTTGTCTGAACTGGATGATGATGTGGTTTGCTAAATCTTTAATATAGCTTTTAAAGAAAACAGGGTATCTCATGAAAAAAGGTTAACACGATTAAATTATAGTAATTTAATGGAGCAACTTTCAGAAGGACCGTTCCCGTTTAAATATGAGGAATGGGGTGGAAATTCTGACACAGGGAAGTTAGTTGTGCTTCAAGGAAGGGTCAGGTGGCGATAGGAATTCAGTTCTGAACTCAGCCACCTAATTCATCAGAAGAACTTTTATAAGCTTAAAATCATTTCTGACAATTCCCAGGGAAAGGGCATGTGCCAGTGATTTATCTAGTACAAGGTAAAGATGAATTCTCTTTTACTCCCGATTGTAGTCTATGTTTTGGATAGCGTATCCATATTAAAGAAGAAATAGCAAATAGTAAGAAAAAAAAGAATGAAAAGAGTTTGAAAAACACCCAAAACTTATTCATTAATGGTATCATCCTGTGAAAATTTTGCAATTATTCCTATTTTAGCATTACCACTTGCACCTCAAGGCTGACTTTATTAAGGTTTCATAGACCTGTTCCCAAGCTTATCGATACCCTCTGTCCTCACAATAATTTCCTTTGATTGGTGACAATAAATTTCATATACTGATATGGGTTACGTTATAGCAATACTCTCCTTGTTATTTTTTTTAGACCAGTATACACCATGGGGACAAGAGTCCCTTTATATATAGTTTAATTGCGCTGTGGTGCAAATTTTTTGTTTCCAATTGCTACAATTTTGAAAATAAAGAATTTAAAAAAAAAAAAAGAAGTTTTTAAAGGAACACTCCAAAGACCAATGTGGTGCCTGCACACTGTAGTGGTTATGGTCCAAGGAGTGTTCTGGTGCCGCCCCCAATCACCTCCCCCATGTAAGTAGTCAAACCATTTTCTGATGGTGTGACTTCTTACCTGGGATCTGGAAAATGCCGCTTCCTGACTGCTTAAAACTGGAAGTTCTCCTCATTGAGCTACGTCCAGCCTGGTGGCATTCATTGTTTTCCTTTAGCCTTCTTGTGAGATGCTAGACTAGCACATCTGAACTATTTCATGTCTGTGTGCTTAATATGTAGGTTGGCATGTGTCTCATTGGATTATACCTGTATATATAGAGAGATGCTCATCTGCAAGGATTCTGTGCGCTTGTTAAGGTCGTTCAGAAAGGCTGTGTGCTCTGCCATAGACATCTTCAGGTCCCCACCGTGCTGCTCAATGGATTTAAAACCAGTGTTGTTGGAGCTATTGCTCAGAGCCTGAAACAGACCACTAGCAAACGTTAGACTCTCATGCAAACCTGTGTTTCTTAGGATCATATTCGCTAAACACAACCGAGATAAGTGGTCACTGACTATAATATTCACACTTCTCCTGATAATACGTAATTAACACTCAAAAATATATATTTTTTATTCACTAAGCCTGCAACGGTCAAGGGAACATCAAATTTTATCCCAAAGTAGCCGAATTGAAAAGAAGTTCTCAAGATCAGCTCTTCCAATTTTGATATTTCGGCCTAAATTTTCAACTTATTGTCAATTCTCCACATTTGCTGTCTTAGCGAATAACCATAGGCAAAACAGAGCAGATACCGTACCTCTGCCACCGATAATTTAAGGTGTTCGATTTTATCAATCTGGTTCCTCAGTCGCTGTTCCAAGTCTTGTACCAACATAAGACATTCCCCTTCACCAAGTAGCTCACCCAGAGGTGTTCTCCCGGATATACTAGGAGTAGATAGATCATCAGAAGTTAGCATTTTTCCAGGAGCTAAAAGGATACAAGATACATGGAACTATTATCACGAAATATCGGTTCTTGTTTTACTTTCAGCACTGTAAGCTGGTAGATACATGCAGACTGGTTAGCACTAGCAGATATTAAAACAGAGTCTCTTAACTCTGCTTTCTGAATGTCCATAATTTTTTTTATGTGTAACCAGTTGTGTCTGATGTAGCCGAGGCTATTTGTGTTGGGGATACTATAGAAGACACTATGTACCTAATACGGGTTGGTCAAACTCAGGAGGAGCCACTCAAATATCTGCAGGAGATTTCTTGTTTGGTTAAACTGCTTGGATAACACACCCCCAGTGCGTTTTGCCTTTCAAAATAATCCAGATTGGACAAAATTTAAAGTTATAATGTGAAAGTGTAATTTATGCCGTTGGCTGATTCGGAGGCTGTCTCTGGATGCCCATTGATTAGCTGCTGAGCTCTAGTGGTGATGTTGCTTAGAGTGCCCCTTTTAGATAATAAGGGCTTTTGCAGTATATGACTGTTCTTTAACTAAACCACTACCTGAATAACATATTTATGATGGACTTTTAACTAATTTATTGAGTATTTATGAGCTACACTATTTTCCAATTTGTAGTTATGGCTCTATGTTTTGTTTTGTTTTTTAAAGTTTTGTTGACATAGCACTGTTTGCCATACTGTAAAACACCATAATTAATTTTATCATCATACGCATTGTTACTGAGATAAATCTAAACTTGAAATCCACAAATTGGTGTAGTCACAGTACATGGTAAAGCAATAATATTTTATTTTTCAGAATTCATTAACATGTATGTTATTGTTTGTTTTTTTGCTCCTGCTGTAAGTATTAATGCAATAAAGAACTGCGTTAAAGCTGACAAAATTTGCCCCAATAGATATTTTTTGGACTTACCCGATGACTCTTTGTAAGCTAACATTTAAATTGTTCGGAATGTTTGAATGTTGGAATGTTTAGAATAGTTATAAAGTTGTATCCTTAAAAGGAAGATAAAGTTGCTTCTCAGTTAGCAGTAATTCCTAGTCTGTTTTATCTTATTTTATTTATTTGGCAACCTTTCAATGTGTTAAAGATTGTTAAGTCTGGATAATAGAGTACTCACCTTTACTGTGCCCCTGACTCTGGGCCTGCAGGTGTGCGGGAGTAACCTGACTGATAGACTTCCACATCTCCAGACTAGGGCTGGAATGTATGGAATCTTAACTTGGGATGGAAGGGGGAGTAAGGAGGTGGGAGAATAGTGGATATCTCCTCCCAAAATCAGAAGCATAACACTTTTAACCTTTTAATTGCTGCTACAGCTGTATCATTTCCATTGAGTCCATAGGCACAATAATAATGCACAGCTATGTGCTAATGGACTCAATAGAAATGATAACGGGAGCATGTTTGGATACAATTTAGTTGTATTTTTTCCCCAGACAATAGTGTAGTTTGGGAAATAATTCTGTATGGTTACTGTGCCCCAGCAATTATATATTAGATTCAGACACCAATACTTTAAGAGGATCTGTTTTCTAATTATTCCAAAGCTCAATATCTAAGGAATGTGTTATAATAAAATAAGCAAAGGTTTACAAAAACGTGTTGAGTATGTGTGTGGGGGGGGGGGCGGGAGGGGGGAGAAGGGGTGATTTTAAGCAAGGTTGTCAAGGCATAGCCTGGCATTTATTGCATGAGCCTCTGGACTTGGGCCCAGAGAAGGATTAGGATCCCATGCAGGGTTGCCATCAGAGATTGTGGGGCCCTTTATCTAGTTCAAGGTCTTGGCCACAGGTCCCACCCCAATTCTGCAGTGTGTGGAGAGTGGACGCAGTGCGTGCATAGTGGATTTAGAGGGTGTGTAGTGGATGTAGTGTGTTTATAGTGGATGCAGTGTGTGTGTTTGTGTAGTGGATGCAGTGTGTGTAGTGGATGTGCTGTGTTTAGTTGATGCAGTGTGTGTGTTTGTGTAGTGGATGCAGTGTGTGTAGTGGATGCAGTGCGTGTCACAGGCATACATACCTTGGTCGCAGGGGTCGCAGCTGCGACCGGGCCCGGCAGACCAGGAGGCCCAGCTGCCCTGCGACTGGGTATGTACGCCAGTTTGCCAGCCTCTTTTCCTTGGGGCCTAGGGCCCCCCGAGGCTGGCAGTGCTGTCACCGGGCGGGCGCGCGAGGGAGCATTCTCCACTGAGCGCTCTCTGTCCAGCTCCCTGAGTGTGTGTTTGTCAGTGAAAGTGTATGTTTTGTAAGTGAGTCTGTATGTCTGTCTGTCAGTGAGTGTGTATGTATGTCTGTCACTGAGTGTGTGTCTGTCAGTAAATGCGTGTTTCTGTTAGCTAGTGTGTATGCGTCTGTTCATGAGAGTGTGTGTGTGTGTGTGGTTAAAACCCCTTCAGCACTTACCTTTCTCCAGCGGCGGGGCCCCCTTGGCGCTGGGGATCTCTCCGCTCCGATCCACCTCTCAGCTCAGAATGCGCATACGCAGCAAGAGACGCGCGCACATTCAAACCGCCATAGGAAATAATTACTCAATGCTTTCCTATGGACGTCCAGCGTCTTCTCACTGTGATTTTCACAGTGAGAATCGAGGAAGCGCCTCTAGCGGCTGTGAGTGCGACAGCTACTAGAGGCTGGATTAACCCTCAGTGAAACTGAGCTGCAGGGTTAAAACTAGAGGGGCCTGGCACCCAGACCACTTAATTGAGCTGAAGTGATCTGAGTGCCTATAGTCCTTTAAGTGTATGTATCTGCATGCAGTGGCGTACATACCGTGGTCGCAGCCCTTAGTAAGCGCTGAGTAAGCGCGGGCGGGGGGGGCCCATGGATCAGTTTTCGCACCGGGGCCCCATGGATCGTGTGTACGCCACTGGCGTGTGTAGTAGATATGCTGTGTGTAGTAGATGCAGAGTGTGTGTCTATGTAGTGCATGCAGTGTGTGTTTGTTTAGTGGATGCAGTGCGTGCATAAATGATGTGGAATCAATCAATCAATTGATTATCTTGCGTATCTTCCCCCGGCCAAATTTAAAAAGATGCGTGCACGCTCCTGAAGTAATTCACACCAGACACAGGTTTCGGGTTAATGAAAAACTTGAGGAATGTTTATTCTGAGGGGACGGCATGCCCCTTATAAAGCAGAATTATATCATATGCATTGTCAGAGATAACAGGGAATAATACATCAATAATTGGTTAGGTGTTAAATGGTTCATTTAGTGCCCTTCCTACCGGGTGTGATGTCACTGGTATCTTGGAGTTCTCCCCCAGATACCAGCGCCATCTTGTTAATGAGGGTGTTAGTCGATGTCAAAGGGAAACTCCCTAGCGGCCATTTTAGGTAAATCACATATAAAGTTCAATAAGTTCAAAAATAGGGGCTGCTTTCTGTGAGCAAAAAGCTCTCTTTTAATTTAATTATTATTTTATCCCCACCTCCCTGTCTCTTACCTGTGACCAGGGAATGGGGACATTACACTCCCTGGTGGTCCAGCGGTATTGTGCAGGGTGTCAGCTGCTGTATAGTGAAGAGGGGGCAGGGCAAACACTATCTTTCCCCTCCTGCAGGTCATCTTCCTCTCTCACTTGCTCGGCATGCATGCAGGGTTGGAGTGTTGCCATGCTAGCCTGCAGCAACTCTCTGACAGCAGGGGCCCGCAGGGGTATACATATGTATATATATGCAGTCGAGCAACTTGCACTCCATGGTATCCAATCTCATGCCTGGTGCTGATCAGCGTATAATATAGGAAAATAACAACAAAAAAACTTCATATATGGTGACCAATAAAACGTACCTTTTACTAAGTATTTTCCTTAAAATGTCAACGTTTCGCTTTGCATTAAAAACTTTCATCAGAATACTCCCGTGGGTGTGATCCGTTTTTGGTATTTTCATATATATTTATGTGCACATTGGGAATATTGGGCCCGGAAGAGTATTATCAGCTGTACCACCCTAATGGCAGCTCTGATCCCATGAGACCCTAATCAGTTTGCTAGTTTGGGGCCCCCTCTCATTCTTCACATAGGAATGGTTATTGGGACCAGGAAAATTCATGGCTCCGGGGCACTTGTCTAATCCCTGGACCCTTGGTGGCCCTATAGAGTCGCCTTATTATTATTATTATGATATTTATATAGCGCCACCAAATTCCGCAGCGCTTTACAATGGGTGGACGAACAGACATGTAGTTGTAACCAGACAAGTTGGACACACAGGAACAGAGGGGTTGAGGGCCCTGTTCAATGAGCTTACATGGTAGAGGGAGTGGGGTAAAATGACACAAAAAGGTAAGGATAGTATTAGACTAGTGACAGTTGCAGAAGAGGAATCGGTCAGGAGCTATTAACAGTTCAATTGATACGTTTTATGAAGAAGTGTTTTTTTGGTTTTGGTTTTTTTAAATACTTTATTTATGATTGAAGCGCTTGACATATACATAGTAAACTGTATACATTGCCACAGTTATGTTATTACAGTCAGATTTCTTGGTATTTATACATGCCACGGTCTATCTCAGTCATATGTGGCCTAGTGTTCCGGTTTGTCAAGATACCTTTGTTTTGCTTTTTATTTTTATATTTTTATATAATGTAATATACAACTGTAACGATAGTTCATAAACTAAGTAACCAAACTTCTCAACAGTGCATATGGAAGCCTATGTATCCATCAACCTTTCTGGTAGGGCTCATGGCACCTGTCTCCTCTACGGTTGCCGCTGAGTCGGGATAGGTCCCGCCCTATATTTATTCATGACATTCGGAATTGGCTATCGGGCCAAGTTTCCCACCGGAAATGCAATAGCGAGAGATAGAAAGAAAAGGAGATGAAGAAAAAGAGGGATAAAAGTATTAGAGCAGGTTCATCAGGCTGGAGAATATCGGCGCCATAGTCTGTGTTATGTATGATCCCACGTTAATTGGGACCCTATTGGGGCCTATCTCTTAGTGGGTTGGTGTGAGGTCGGTCGCACCCTATCTGTGCTGATGCTAACTTAGGTTAGATCACTAGAAGCCCAGGGTTCCCACATTTTCTCAAATTGTGACATAGACCCTCGAACCCTAGCTGTTAAGCTGTCCATAAGGTATACATCTTTTATGTTTGACAGAACGGTTCTCACAGGGGGTACTTCTACTTTCAGCCACGTTTGGGCTAGCGCTCTCCTGGCCGCTAACGTCACCTTGTGTAGTAATTTTTGCTCTCTTTTTGTCCAGTCCTCTAGGGGTCTGTTAAGTAAGTATGTCCATGGGATTAAGTCTGGTGCTCTATGAAAAATTTGCAATATCAAGTTATGTATCTCCTTCCAGAAGATTTGTACCTGAGGGCATTCCCACCACATATGAATGTACGTGCCTTTAAGGCCACATCCCCTCCAGCAATCGTCAGTAGGGGTTTTCCCTATTAGTGTACCACCTAAACAGTAGTGTACTACCTAAACAGTGTCTTATATGCTTGTTCTTGGAGAGACACACATATGGATACTGAAGTGTTTGCCTCCCATATCTCCCTCCATTCTACTCCCTCCAGTACCTCCCCCAGTTCCCTCTCCCACGTGTCCGTGTAGGTGAGTGTGCCCCATTCATCAGTTTCTGTGGGCGTATAGCTTTGAGATAAGACCCGGTGGTATGCATTAGTTTAGGCACATTCTTTCAAAGAAAGACGTGCCCTGTTGCTGCTTGTTGTAGGAGTGGACGTTTCATATAGTCTTTAAGTTGTAGGTATCGGAAGAAGTCAGCTGGGGTGAGGTGTGTCGCCTGTTGCAGGTGATCGAAGGTAACTAATGTGTTATCCTTATACATATGGCATATCCTTTGGAGACCCGCTTTTTCAAGGTTAGCAAAGTCTCTTGCTGTCATTCCGGGGGGGAAGGCTCTGTTTCTGAACAGTGGGGTGAGCGGTGATGGGATGGAAACTAGTTTAAATCTGTGGGCTGTGGCATCCCATATTCTCAGGGAATTTAGAATCGCCGGGCAGGTTGTACGTAGGATGGGCCTATCCTCTTTTGGCACCCACATGTGGAATTGGGGTAGGTCTACACCTGTCAAGAGGGACTCAAGATCTACCCATCTCCTTTCTTCTAGAGGGGCGTGCCACATTGCCACCTGTGAGAGTTGGGCTGCTAGGTAATAAAAATATAAGTGTGGCAGGCCCAGACCCCCTCTTTGTTTTTGTCTAATAAGGATATTTCTCGATATCCTTTGCCTTCTAT